ACTAGTACTTGTGCTTGGAGAAGGTGTAGTCTCAGTAGTTGAGTACGGATAAGGACTTGTTGGAAGGGTACTTGTCACAGGTGAGGTAGTAACTACAGGATTACCATAAATCCAAGTGACTGTACTTAAATTTTCCAGGTGGATATTCTTGCTAGTAAGTTGAATAGTTAGTGTCTGCCAGAAAAGAGGAGAAAGGGGGCATTTTAGTAATTCTTAAGCATCACATTTAAATCACACCTCATATCATACCGAAACAGGAAATCAGTGAGCAAGAGAAGGCATCAACATACCTTTGGAGTCTGCCAGCTAAGTGCGGTGATACTCAAATCCCCGTGCTGAAAACTCTTTAATGCCTGAGTCAGAACCACATGGTTCACAATTCTCAGAGCTTTGTTCAAAGTAGACGTTTGCAGAGCCCTCTTTCCTCTACGATTAGATAGCATCCTTTCTGAGCCCCTGGTGATGTAGTGGGTTAAGCATAATTGGAAGGTTTGTTACTCAAACCTACCAGTAAAGACTGCAGCCTTGGAAACACTGGAGCAGTTCTTTGCCCTACTGGGTAAAAATGAGTCAAAATGAACTGCATAAAGTCATGCTGAGAATAGATCAGTGGGGATTAATTTTATAAGACAATGTGTGGGAATGATTTTAAGAAACAATGTAAATGAAGAAAAGCGTGAAACACAATGTATATAAATATTGTATGCAAATCAATATAAAATGAAATGTTTAAAAAATCAACTGTACAGCCGTGCGTTTGGGTTGGTTTTTAATGGGCTGCCAGCATATTTTTCACTAAACCAAACACCGGTTCACGGCACATAATCCAGAGAAAACCACTGCGCCATAGTTTTCTTCAAAGAATATATTTAAAGTTTCTCTAAATCAGGCTCAATTGCATGAAATGGAACTTTTAACTCCTATGGTCCAAGGAAAATGGTTTTGAAATAAAGAGCTAGAAGGCACACTGTTGTTTTTCCCATCAAATCAGAACCAAGCCACAGTTGACCCTCCAGGGGGTCTTTGGGGGCTGAAATTGCACCAGAGGAAATTGCTCATCTTTCTTACGTGGAGCAGCTGGTGGATTTGAACTGCAAGCCTTTGGGTTGGCAGCATAGTTCCTTACCACCAGGCTTCCTTGAAGATGTATATAGAGAGGCTCTATTTGAATGCCTAAAAGGGCTAGTTTCCAAAATCCAAATAGCAAAGCATCCTTGTAGGGTTTTCCTTTAAAAAAAATCACTATAATTATGCATTTTCCATTTCTTAGACCATCTCCCATGGGCCAGTGAATCCATATTTCTGATCAATCTCTTGTTCCAACCTGGGATTCTCTTCTCTGTGGGTATTCTTGGTAATCCTATCAGTAAATGATCTTCCAAATTTCTGTTTTGTAGACGTTGTCTGGCCTAGTAAGGTCATTGGGGGCAGATCCTTCCATAGGGCTTACTATTGGAGAGTTTTATTTTACTAAAACTCAAACTCACTGACATCAAGTTGATTCCAAAGCATTAGGTTATAAATCTCTATGAGATGAGATTGCCCATTGTCTCCCTTTGAATGCCCAGGAGATCTGAACTGCTGCATCACGGCCTTTTGGCGAACAGTGCACCATGCTATTGACTGTGTCACCACCCCTCTTTCCACCACCAGTGGGACAAATTAATTTGGTTATTACCACAGTTTACTGACAATTATCACCAAGCCATGTTGCTGTACTTGTCTACGAGTCAGTTACAGCTCACAGCAACTACATACAGCAGATCAATACATTATGGCTCCGTGCAATCGCTGCTCTTTCTGAGCTCTCTGTTGCAATCTCTGTGTCAGGCTATCTCGTTGAGAGTCTTCCTCCTTTTTGTTAACTCTCTGCTTAACGAAGCATGATGTCCTTTTCCAGGCCAGCCCCTTCTGATAAGGTTAAGTCCTGATAGATTCTCTCCATCCTCATGTCTAATTTATGTTGTTGTTATTGTTTGGTGCCAGTGACTTAAGTACAATTCATAGCAACTCTATGAATGACATCTGAGCCCTGTTCAGAACTGCACCATCCTTATCATCTTTTATCATCATCTTCATTTGATCCCCTTGTCACATTGTATCAGTCCATCTTGTTGAGGCTCATTCTCTCTTTCACTGACCCTCCACTCTTCCAAGCATGATGTCCTTTTCTAAGGAACAGCCCCTCCTAACAATATGCTCAAAATATATGAGGTGAGGCTTCACCATCCTTGCCTCAAAGGAGCAATCTGGCTGCACTTTCACCAGACTGACTGTTTTTTATTTTGATAGTCCATGGGATATTCAGTACTCTCCTCTAACAGTACAACTCAAAGGTACTGATTCTTCTTCTTCATCCTTGTTCACTGTTCAGCTCACAGATGCATAGCAGGTGACGGGGAAAACCATGACTTGAATCAGACACTTTAGTTTTTAATCTGGGATCGTTGCTCTTCATGACTTTGGAGAGGTCTCTAACAACAAATTTTCCCCATAGTAAGATGAAATCACTGAGCGTTTCAATCTTTTCTCCATCTAGCATGCTGTTGCCTATTGGTCCTGTGGCGAGGATTTTTATTTTCTTGATTTTGAGATGTAATACATAATGAAGGCTTGATGTTCTGGGAAGCACCTCAAGTCCTTTGTTTTCAGCAAACAAAATTGTGCCATCTGTATAATGTCTGTTGTTCTCTCTCCAATCTAGATGCCACCTCCTTCTTTACAAAGTCCAGTTTCTCGAATAATTTGCTCAGCATACAGCTTGAATAGGTATGGAGAAAGGATCTAGCCCTGATACAAATCTTTCTTGACTTTAAACCATGTAGTGTTCTCTTGCTCTGTTCAGACAACTGCTTCTTGGTCTAGGTATAGATTTTGTATGAGCATAATTAAGTGTTCTGGAATTTCTATTCTCAAAGTTGATCATAGTTTGTAATGATCCACACAGTCAAATGCTTTCACATAGTCAATAAAATACAAGTATATATTCTTCTGGTATTCTCTGTTTTCAGCCAAGATTCATCTGACATCAGCAATAATATCCCTGGTGCCATGGCCTCTTTAAAGCCCAGTTTGAATTTGTGGCAGTTCTATGTCAATGTACTGTTCTAGCTGTTTTTGAATGATCTTTAGCAGTATATTCTCCAGTATTTTGTTTGCATGTGATTTTAATGATATTGTTTGGAATGGGAATAAATTGCTTCCATTCAATTGACCAGGTAGCTGTCTTCCAAATTTCCTGTCACAGACTGATGAGTACATCAAGACTATACCTTTTAGTTGAAACATGTCAACTGGTGTCTCATCAATTCTTAGGGCCTTTATTATTGTCAATGCCTGCAACGCCACTTGAACCTCTTCCCTTGTCACGGCCGGCCCTTTTATCATGTGCTACTACCTGAAATAGTTCAGTGTTGACCAATTCTTTCTGTATGACCCTGCATGTTCCTTCCATCTTCTTTTGATGCTTTCTAGATCATTCAAGATTTTTCCAGGCCCATACAGCCTACAGTCCTCCTTGAAATCTATAAGATGCACTAATTTGGCTAAAAGTAAGAGTAATTTTATAAAGAATAGGAGAAATATGCCACAAATTTGGTAACTGATTCTTTTCTTTGTTTAGATCTGCATGGGAAATGTCTATGCTTGGTATGGCCGGAACATCCATCCTTAATGCCCAGCGTGATTTCTTTGGGGTACACAAGAGAGGACCTCATCAGAACAATGATTCTTGATCCCCAGAGCACATGAAGAGGACCATGGATTCTGGACAAGTTTTGGGGACTATATCAATTACACATGTCTCTAACATTTCCAAGATAAGTAAAAATGTTCATTGATTTGGCATTGAGTGGCACTGACTTGGCAAAAAACAAACAAATACAAACAAAACAAGAAAAACTCTAACGCCCCCAAAAAAATCGTGAAAGAAGCTATGCCATTTATTAAAGACATACCTGATTGTATGAGTCACTGGTGAAGTTTGTCTCTGTGAATTGTTGGGTGCCATGAGTGATACTGACTTCTGTCACGTAGGCAGCACTCAACCCCCAGATTTTAATATATCCAACCTTCAGCTGATTCACACTACTCAGATAGCTATTGTGAAGGGTCTGGATCTGTAAGGTATCCTATAAAAAATTTTGAGAGAAGGGGGAAAAAATAGACTCCATCTGTTAAAGATATAAAATTATAAGAAAACCCAAATAATTTTGCTGTACTGATATGCTGGTATTTCATAAACACTTCATGGGGACGTACTTGCTAAGCACACTTAAAAAATTATTATTATTAATTTTAATGAAAATTTACAGAGACTCTGGAATTCCATTTATTCATTGTTGCACTTTTCTCCCTGCCCACCTCTCTCCCCCAGTACACTCTTCTATTTGAAAAGTAAAAGAAAAATTATTTCATTGTTTTACAATCCCTCCCCTCAAATCCACTCCACTATGCAGCCTTTGTTCTGGACTCCTGTCATGACAATAATATTTAATCACATATCCCTTTTAAATCGTTTTCTCCCTCATCTGTTTCAATGCAGTATACATTATTGAACCCATCTTTCTCAGTCTACCCCCAACACCGATGTCAGTCCTGTTTTACAACAGTGGCACCATGCAGTATTTGTCCCTGTGTGACTGAGATACTTTACTCAGCATAATGTCCTCCAGGGTCACCCATTTTGAATTATATTGCATGAGTTCCTTGTTTATCAATCTGAGCACACTTTTAACAAATATTGTCAAGAAGTATATGAGCCTGGTTTATGAAAGCCACTTTTCCTATGTCATTGCTAATTTTAACAGTGATTTTTTTCCTAACAGCTAAGGAAAGAGAGGATCTGGTGGAGGATGTGGGTAAATGACAAGGCTTAAATCATGTGAAGTCCATGTGCTTCACACCATGTGGCCTATTACAGAGCATGCAAACAATTCTTAGCCTCAGGGCACCCTGCAACAAATATAAGAACTTGTCTAAACCATGAACTGCTTAGAGATCAGTAAAAACCTCAGACCTATTGCTGTGGAGTCAGTTCCAACTTCCAGCGATCCTACAGGACCAAGTGGAACCGCACCTCAGGGTTCCTAAGACTGCAATCGCTATGGACAGAGATAATACAGCTGTTTCCTAAAAGACAACTGGTGGAGTAAAAGTGTTGGCCTTTGAAGGGCTTTTAAATGCGTAACCACTGCACCCACAGCTCTCCTCCTGCCTTGTATTAACTAACACAAGTGTTTAAATCCTGGGAGAGCCATCCTGAGGTGTTAGTGATTAAGCTCTAAATGAAACCCACAGGGAATATCTGTCATGGGTGTTCAGAGAAAGGAAGAGTCCTCTGAGAAGAACAAAGACCTCCAGAAGGCTTCGAGATCAAAACACTGGGGGAACATGTTCATAAACATGCTGCATGCTTGCCAAGGGGTGAGAGAACATTTTCTGACAGATGGCATTCTGGCAGCTAAATGCCGTCTCCTGCATGAGAATGCTACATAACCCTTATGCTAATGGCAATTGATCTTAATTATAATGGGCAGCAAAGCCAGGAACCAACTCTTGGCAACACTTCAGGATGGAGTAAAATGGTCCGCAGGCTTCCAGGGCTGCAAATCTTTACAGGATCAGACCACCGTAACTTAACCGCCAAAGCTTGCCTCCACAGAGGGCTGGTGGGCTCCGACCACCCAACTTCTGGTTAGCAGCGGGGTATTTTAACCACTATGTCAACAGGGCCCCATTAGAGGCTGAATGAGTCTCCCGTTAAGAAGTGGGAGAATACGTAGACAGAGCTGATCGGCAATGAGGAACTTGCGGCTAAGGAGCCCTGATAGCATAATGGTTAAAGAATCCAGCTGCCAGCCCAAAGGTTGGTGGCTTGAAACTCCTTGGTATTCTACACAGGAAAGACAAGGCAGTCCGCTTCTGTAAAGACTAGCAGCCGCAGAAAGTGTATAAATCGTTCCGCCAGCTTGCTCCAAACAAGAATATCCTCAGTGGCCGTGTGTCGGGGTTTAATGTATAGCCCAAGAGCTTTGGTGGTGCAGTGATCGAGGACTCAGGTACTCGGCAAAAGGTTGGCAGTTCGAACTCACCCAGTGGTTTGTTGGGAAAAGAAAAAGACCTGATGATTTGTTCTTGTAAAATCCTACGGGGCAGGTCTACCATCACATGGGTCTGCTATGAGCTGAAATAAACTCAACAGCCCACAAACATAGTACTAGTGTCATTGAGCAGATTGATGTTGTTAGGTGCTGTTGAGTCAAGTACGAGTCTTAGAGACCCTATGAACTACAGATGTGAACCTTGTCTATCCTGTGCCATCCTCCTCATCTCAGACACACTTGAGCCCATTACTGCTGTCAATGCATCCCACTGAGGGTCTTCTTCTCTTTCACGACCCTCCGCACCTTTCCTAGAATGGTGTCCCTTCCCAAGGAATAACCTCTTCTAGTAACATGCCCAAGTACGTGAGATGAAGTTTCACCATCCTTGCCTCCAAGAAGCGCTCTTGTACTTTTTCTAAGACACACCAGATTGTTCTGTTGGCAGTCCATGGGATATTCAGTGCTCTTCTCCAACCTACAACTCAAAGGCATCAATGCTTCTTCAGTTATCTTTATGCATCATCCAGCTCTCAGACACATAGCAAGTGATTGAAAAGACCATGGCCTGATCAGGCACACCTTAGTCCTCAAACTGGCGTCATTGTTCCCTGGTAATTTGGAGAGATCCCTGACAGTTGGCTTTCCCAATGTCATACGTCTCCTGGTCTCATGGCTGCTGGCACCAAGAGATCTAAGTAAGATGAAGTTGAACAATTCAATTCAGATTGCTCATGAGTCTTCCTTTGATCCTGATGCCGCATTCTTCTTCAGAGAGTCTAACTTCTCAAATAATTTTTTTCCGCATACAGAGTGAATAGGTATGGAGAGATGAGTCAACCATGACGCATAACTCTCTTGATTTTAAATAATGCAGTATTCCCTTGCTCATTCAGACAACGGCTTCTTGGTCTGGGAATAGGTTTTGTATTAGCATAATTGAGTGTTCTGGGATTCCCATTCTTCTCTTTCTTAGCCATAGTTTGTTATAATATACGCAGTCAAATGCTTTTGCATAGTCAGTAAAACACAGATAGTTATTTTTGTGGTATTTTCTCCTTCTCGTAAAGATCCGTCTGACATCAGCAATGGTATCCTGCTGCCACCGCCTCTCTTAAAGCGGTTTGAACTTCTGGAAGTTCTCTGTCAATATACTGCTCTATCCATTTGTTCTTTATAATCCTCAGAAGTATTTAACTTGCATGTGATATTAATAATTGTTCAATACTTTCCACATTATGTTGGATCACCCTTCTTAGGGAACAGATATGGACCTCTTCCAGTCACTTGTCCTCCTAATTTTCTGGCAAAGACTGGTAGGTGTGTCTAGGGCATCACGTGTTCTCTGAAGCACATCCGTACATCAGTTCCTGGGGCCTTCAATTTCTGCCAGTGTCTTCAGTTCAGCTTCAACTTCTTCCTTCGTTACCACTGGCTTTTGTTCATATGTTACTTTCTGAAGCTTTTCAGTGTTAACCATTTCTTCTATGTATTCCTTCCATCTTCTTTTGATGCTTCCTGGATCATTCAAGATTTTGCCCACAGCATCTCTCAGTATTGCTGCTTGAGGCTTGAATTTGTTTTTCAGTACTGGGGAGAAGGAGTTCTAAAATGGAATGAAATCATCTTACCTGAGCTGCTGCAAAGTTTGCCAAGAAATAGTTTCCATTTTCATAGGTATCTGCAATCACATTAGAAGGAAAAAGGAACCAATTAGCCATTGCTTCAATGGTGGCCCAACCCCCAGCGCTGTCAGAAAAGAACACACTGACTAGAACAATCATTGCCCACCTGGGAGCCACAGAGGATGGTCGTTGAGGGAAGGCTCCACCATGGGTCTGTGTAGGGCCAGGTACGTGGGAGGAGGTGGCTCAGGGTGAATTAGGAGGTTATCATGCAGGAAAGCACCATAAATGGCCTTCCCAGGGAGCACTTGGGGAAAGGTGGCCAACTCCTCAGACACTCATCTCCCACTGAGTTACACTCAACATATGGTGTTTATGAGAGTGTGAAGGAGACCAGACGTCTACCATTATGCTAAGGGAAAACAAACAGACTCACAATGAAATGTGAGCTACTGGGACAATAAAATTGTAAATGTTAATTAATTCAAAGGCCAGAGACACTATGTAGATGAAGTAACAAGAGTGACTGCTTAGTACTGGTCCTATTCTCTCTCTCTCTCTCTTTGTTTTTAGATAAAAATATAAGACCTTCAGAATGAAAACAAATTTGCACTGGACTTCATGGAGTCTTCAGTGTATGGTTGTTCAGAGGAAAGTTCAAGGTCAATCTCCCCAGGGGTTCTGGGTGCAATTGAACTTCCCACCTTTTGGTTAGCAGTCCTGCACTTACCTCTTTGTGCCGCTCAAGAAAACAAACAAGCCAACAAGATCAGTCAGCAGCCCCAACAGCAAACCCACTTCCACTGTGCTCGCCGTGGCACCACGACGCCGGGGCTGACCACAGCTGACCACAACGCTGTAGCTAACCACAGTTCACCACAACACCGCAGCTCGCCACCACGCTGCAGGACAGAGCAGCACTGCCCATCTCTCTCTTGCAGTGGCTGGGGGTTCAAGCCATAGTCTTTCCACTGGGCAGCACTCCAGCAGGGCCACCCTGGGGTGCCACGTGTAAGAGGACAATTATGCAACAACTTTACTAACATCTCTCCTCATTAAGGAGCCTTGTTGGCATAGAGCATTATGAGCTGGACTGTTAAGTAAAAGGCCAATGGTTCTAATCTACCCACAGTTCCACAGGAGACAGATGGGCAGTCCTCCTCTAGAAATGGACAGCCTTTGGAAATCAAAGGTGGGTGTCCATGAGTCATCACTAAGCCTGGTATTTCGGGTTCACTCCTCGGTAACAATGACAGACATGAGGGAGGTTTTCTGTTCACACGGATTGCACACTGAGGTTCGCACAACGGGTCTCCTGGGACGGGGCAAGGAGTCTGGAACATTCTCCTTTACTCACTTATGCTTTGTCCATCATCCCAGAACAACTGGCCATGAGCTTTCCCATCGCTGTCCAAGGCAACCGTCAATCCCATGAAATTCTGTCGACTGTCAGAAAAATCAAAGTTATATTTCTCTAGACTGTAGGCTGTGAGCTTGAAGAGGGCAAATTCTGTGGAAAACGCTGCCTATCCACAAAAAAGGAATGCAAGAAATCTACGCAAAAATCCCAAGGTAAAAGGAGTGCCTATGTAAGACGCCTAGAGGTTAGTGAAAAAAAATTATAAAATTTAATGAAACATTTGGCACAATTTCACCTTTCAAAAACCAAGGATACAATCTAATTATGAAGTGAGCAGAGGACATAATCATTCTCAATTGTTGTTGTTGTTATGTGTCATTGAGATGATTCCAACTCATAGTGACCCTGTGTACAGTAGCTCAGAACTCTGCTCTATCCTGAGCCAGCCTCGCTGTCTCGGACACACTCACCCCCACTACCCCAGTCACTACATCAATCCATCTCATCCAGGGCCTTCCTCTCCTGCGCTGTCCCTCCACCCTCCCAAGCATGACGTCCCTCTCCAAGGACTGATCCCTCCTAACAACATGTCCAAAGTATGTCAGATTGGAGCTTCAAAATCCATGCCTTCAAAGAGTAGCTTGGTTTCACCCTCTCTAGGACAGATCTGTTTGTTCTCTTAGCAGTCCACAGTACATTAGCAATTAGAGAGATGCAAATCAAAATAGCAATGAGCTATCATTTCACCCAGCAACAACAGCAAAGTTCATTAGGTTCAATAGCTGTGAACAGAAAATGCTGGTGAGGTTGTGGGGAGAATGAGACCTTCATATGCTGCTGGTGGAACTAAAAAGGGGTTCAAGTTTAGGGCTCTCTTAAAAAGCTGCAAATAGAAAGACCATTTGGTGCAGCTATTCCACTCTCACAGCTTACTGTCACGTGATCTTCCTCTCCTGTACTGACCCTCCACCCATCCAAGCATGATGTCCTTCTTCAAGGACTGGTCCCTCCTGACAACATACTCAAAGTATGGGAGATGGAGTTTCATAACTTGCCTCTGAGGAACAGCCCTGTTTCACCCCATTCCAGGACAGACCTATTAGTTCTCTTGGTGGTCCATGTTCTGGTCAATACTCTTCTCCATTGTCTGTTGTTGTGAGGTGCTGTCAGTTCAGTTCTGACTCACAGCGACCCCACATTCAATAGAACAAACTACTGCCCAGCCCTGCAGTATCCTCACAGCCACTGGTGCAGCTGCTATGTCGGTCCAGCTCATTGAAATTCTTCATCTTTTACTAATGTTTTTGTCGTTAAGTGTTGCTGAGTCAACTGTGACTCACAGCAACCCTGTGAACAACAGATTGAAACCTCCCCCTCTCCTGTAACATGGCCATGACTGTAACCATGGAATTGCTAGTACATGGGGAATAGATACACATAACGCTATTCTCAGAGAACCTTTGCTCCAGATGTTTGGCATAGCCTTACAGAGAAGATTCTCTCAAGACTGACTTTAGGAACTTGTGGTGTCTCAGATTATCCTGTTCGAAATAAAACCATAGAACCTCTCCGCAACGTGAGAGGGATGTATGCGTCCACACATCCCTGGCAAAGGCAGACTAGACCTCTCTAGGGCTAACTCTTCTTTTCTCACTTACCAGGATGAGTCGCCGTTGGGTTGACTCCCTCCCCTGGGGCCCCGTGTACTCAGAGTATAACTGAGCTCCAGCGGGTGTTCGAGGGTTGGTATTTTGGAAGTTGACCACCAAGACTTTCCTCTGGGGCAACTCTGGGTGGATGTGAGCCTGTGATGTTTCAGCTGGAAGCTGATTATGTCAACTAGACGCCCCACTCCGTGACCATCCTTGACTTGGGGATTGAAGAGGGAGCAGCTGGCTGTCCTCACCTGTACTGCGTGTTGTTGGCAGGCTCCTGCCAGGGCAGGATGTAGCCTCCTCTGACGTGAATGTTGATGTGGTCAAGGGGGGCATCCAAGATCTTGTTGCTTCCTGTTGATTCCTCGCCGGACCCCTGGAAGGGAGAACATGAGCAAGGAGTGGAGACAAGTAAGTAGAAGAAAGTAATACGTGCTCTGTTTCAAGTTCTTGATTGCCAAGCAAGGACCTCTGATGGTGTAATGGGTTACTCAATGGGCTGCTAATTGAAAGGTTGGTGGTTCAAATGCACCGTGTAAAGAGGAGGCAATCACATTTCATTACGATTCACGACTTGGGCACCTGATAGAACACTGCGGTGAGTGGGAATCGACCTGACAGAATGTGGTGAAAGTTAGCATATTCCTGCTGGCCCAAAAAGAAAGCCTGATTCTCAGGTTTGCTGGAAGGTCTAGAAAGTCTGTGGTTTCTCTGCGTTCAATGAAGGAGCTAAAAGAACCCCTGAAGAAGGAGTGGGTGGTGAGGGAGAGAACCAGCGTGAAATGTGTGCTCCAGTTGTCACCATCCACCTTCTCTTTACATAAACTTTTGTTTAGATGAAGTGCCCTGACCACGAGGGCTGGGCAGTGCTGCCCTGGAGGATGTGGCCAGAAGTCAGGAGAAGGCTCTGGCCCCAAAGACCACCTGGCTCCACGTAGAAGAAAAGGTGCATTCTCACCGTGCTGTAGTCATACCAACGGGCCTGCGGGAAGTAGGCAGAAACCTGGACAGTGCCCTGGAAGAGAGAAACCACGGAACATCACGAGCATGCCACCCGACTGGGATTTTAAAAAGGTTTTCAGGGGAATGAGGGTCAGGATGAGGATCTACGTCTGACTTCAAGAGCTGGGATGTTTTGTTTGTGAAAGGCCTAGAAAACTCTTCCACATGCCCCTAGGTGATGACATTCTAAAATGAGGAGTCAAGGGCGATAAAAAGTGACCTAACTGAGCTCTTGAACAAGGAACAGAGGCCTCAAACGTGCTTTGTCTGACAGGTGAAAAGTGGGCAAGTCCTGAGGTAGCACAGATGGTTTGTGATCCTCTGATAACATAAGGCCGCTGATTCAAACTCAGCCGGAAGCACCAGGGAGGAAAGGCCTGGAGATCTGCTGTTACAAGCAGAGCTGCTAAGGTCACCGTCTGGGATTCAGTTCTGCTCTGTCACGCGCGCGGCCACCCTGCGTTGTAGCCATGCTGACTACCGACACCACGAAGCCAGGTGAGGTGGGGTTCCCATTTCTCTCCCCCCACATTCAGTCATGAGACGGAGGATTTCTGCTGGCTGATGGAACTCACACTTTCCAGCACGGGGCTAATGAGGAGGGCGGGACCCAACATGAACTGACGGTCAATGTCCCAGGTATTGCTGTCCCCTGGGAACCTGTAAGGATACAGGAGGACACGTGTTATAGCGCCGGCACACCTCAGTGGTCCACACCCTGCCCTGCTGTGGGGGGAGGAGAAGAGACTCACTCGTGGAGAAGCGGCCGGACCACGGTGCTGCCCTCCACGTGGGCCTGGTGCATCAGCGTGTAGAGGTAGGGCAGCAGGGTGTATCTGGTCTGCAGGACGCGCCTGGAGATGTCCGCAAACGTGGAGTTCCAGGACACGGGGTCTTGTCTCTAAAGGAGAAAGGGAGATATTCACAGGTCCCGTTCCTTCACTCCCTGCACTGGAATCGGCTCACACAGTGCCTTTGCCAGGTATACCTCACCGCGCCCCGGGCTCCCCCTCCAGCCTCCCTCACCTCACCCCCTCAGAAAGTACAGCTTCTGCTTACTCCCCTTTATTACCAATCCCAATGTCCCCACTCGGGTCTGGCTTTGACCCTGTGTGACCACAGAGACAAGGCTCCAGGAAGCAGAGACATGTGGGTGGGCCCGAGCAAAATACTAATTAAACTCCCTTTCGGGCATGGGAGCCTCATCTGTGTACACCTGTTGAAGCTGCACAAACCTCTCTCTTCATGATCCTTCCCACATCCGCCCAGAGATGAGACATGTTAATAATTATCGTTAACTAACTCTACAAACAGATTCATCCTGGAGAGGGTTAAACCAGGCTGCTCCTTGGAGGCAAGGATTCTGGGGCTTCGTCTAACATACTTTGGTCATGTTGTAAGGAGGGACCAGTCCTTGGAGAGGGACATCATGCTTGGGAGGGTGGAGGGACAGCGCAGGAGGGGAAGGCCCTCTGTGAGGTGGATTGATTCAGTGACTGGGGTAATTGGGATGGGAGTGTCAGAGGCAGTGCGATTGGCACAGGACAGAGCAGAGTTTAGGTCTGTTGTACATAGGGTCGCTATGAGTTGCAAGCACATAACAACAACAACAACTAGGGTTATGAGCTATAACGGCACAGTGACTACAGAACGAGCTTGAGCAAGACGGAGACCGTGGAGACGGCTCCAAATAGGACAACGCTCTTCTTGTCCACAGGGTTGCTATGAGTTGTAGTCAACTCAACGGCACCTAACAACCAGGGTCCGTGAGCGGCATAATGTATTGCACGTTGCACTGCTTAAATCCGCCGGTGGCTCTGCGAGAGGAAGCGGAGGAGGACTCTGTTAAGGTGTACAACCTTGGAAACTCCATGGGGGTCCACAGGAGCTGGACTGCACTTGACAGCAATGGGTCCAAGGTTCAGAGATCTTTGGGTCTTCCATCAAAGGAAGGTTCTGGTTCTTTTCATTCTTTCTTGGAAAATAGGATACTCCTGAGGGTGACCACACTTTTTGGCATAATATTGTGCTGGTGGGTCCAAGGAGGAGGCATTTGTCAAACCCACAAGACTACACAGACAAAGAGGAAATCCTAATGTGGACTTCAGTCAATAACAGTGTATCAAAGTTAGCTAATCACTTGTAACAAATAAGCCACAGGGATGTTAACACAACGGGAACCCATTGCCATGGAGCCAGTTCCGATCCATCAGGACTCGAGACTTCTACTTGCAGAAAGCTGAAACAGGATCCACATCTCACACCATACAAAAAAATCAACCCAAGGTGGATCAGAGACCTGGGAGTAAAACCCCAAACCATAACGTTCCTAAGTGACAAACTGGGGTCAAGCTTAGGAGTGCTTGTCCAAGATATAAAGAGACTGCCAAACACAACCAGAAATGCACAATATAAAGAGGATAAAATTGATGCATGGGACCTTCTAAAGATTAAATCCATGTGTGCATCAAAAACTTTTTCCAACAAGGTGAAAGGAAAACCTACAGACTGGGAAGAAACATTTGATAATACCATCTCAGGCAGGAGTCTTATAACAAAAGTTTATAGAATATTCCTGGGCCTCCACAAGAAAAAGACTGATAACCCAATTACAAAATGGGCAAAAGATATGGAAAGAGTTTTCACAGAGGAAGATATTCGAATGGCAAACAGACACATGAAGAAATGCTCCAAATCACAGGCAATAAGAGAGATGCAAATCAAAACCACAATGAGATACCATCTCACTCCAGTAAGAGTGGCAAAGTTTAACAGGGCAGCAAGTAACAGACATTGAAGAGGACGTGGTGCAAAAGGAACTCTTATACATTGTTGGTGGGACTGTAAAATGGTACAACCATTCTGAAAGACAGTTTGGTGCTTCCTCAAAAGGCTGAACACAGAAATTCCATATGACCCAGCTATTTGGAATATACCATGAGAATATGAGAACTGAGGCACAAACTGAGATTTGTACACCAATGTTCATAGCAGCATTATTCACCATCACAAGAACATGGAAACAGCCCAAATGTCCAACCAAAAATGAATGGATTGAGAAATTATGGTACATTCACAGAACGGAATACTATGCAGCAGGCAGGAGTAATAATTGTAAATTATTACCTAACTTGGGAGGAACTGGAGAACATTATGCTGAGTGAACTAACTCAGTCCCACAAGGAGAAATATTGCATAAAACCATTATTGCAGAATGAGCATAAAGATCCAGAAAGAGTAGCAGAGAGATATGTGGATGTACAAGGGGGGAGGGAATTAATCACTGGGTTGTACAGTTTGATGGGGGAGGTGAGGGAAATGGAAAGAATTTTTCTGAATTTGTTTTAGAATTTTGTAAATAAACTAGTGAAAAAAAGAAGTAGACTGCTCTTGCTGTCCTCTGCAGTGTGGTTGGCCAGTTTGAACTGCTGACCTCTCTGTCAGCATACCAGCCCTGTAACCGCTGTGCCACTAGTGCTCCATTTAGAAGATGCCCAGTATCTGCAAAAGACTCAAGCAAGATCCCCACCTCACTCCATATACAAAAACCAAATCAAGGTGGATCATGGACCTAGGACTAAAACCAAGGATTATAAACTTCATTAAAGAAAAGCTTGAAAGAATGCTACAAGTCCTAATCCAACAACATAAACAGTCTTCCAAGTATCCTAAAAAACCTATAACCAGGAGAAGATAAAATAGATGAATGGGACCTTCTAAGAATCAAATCCCTATGCACATCGAAAAACTTCTCTAACAGGGTAAACAGGGAAGACAGAGACTGTGGAAAAATATTTGGTAATGACATATCAGATAAGGGACTTATATCTAGAATTTATAAAATACTTGAGCACCACAACAAGATAAAGGTAAATAATCCAATTGAAAAATGGGCACAGGATATGAACAGACACTTCACCAGAGAAGACATTCAGATGGCTAATAAGCACCTGAAGAAATGTTCAAAATCCCTAGCTCTAAGAGAGATGCAAATCAAAACAACTATGAGATATCACCTCACCCCAGTCAGAAGAGCAAATTTAACAGAACAGCTAGTAACAAATGCTGGCAAGGTTGTGGAGAAACTGGAACCTTTATTCACTGTTGGTAGGAGTGTAATATGGTGCAAACACTGTGGAAGGTGGTATGGCACTTTTTCAAAAAGTTGCTAATAGAGATACCATTTGACCCAGCAATTCCACTACTGGGAATATACCCCAAAGAGACTATAACTGCCACTCAAGCAGATATATGCACACCCATGTTGATCGCGGCTTGGTTCACAATAGCAAGGAGCTGGAAACAACCTAAGTGTCCATGAACAAATGAATGGATAAAGAAGCTGTGGTATATTCACACAATGGAAGACTACGCTGCATTGGAAAACAAGGAACTCATGCAATATTATTCAAAATGGGTGACACTGGAGTACACTATGCTGAGTGAGGTATCTCAGTCACAAAAGGGCAAATACTGCTTGGTACCACTGTTGTAAAACAGGACTGACCTCAGGGTTGGGGGGAGACTGAGAAAAATGGGATAAATAATGTATACTGCACTGAAACAGATGAGGGAGAAAACTGTTTAAAAGGGATATGTGATTAGATATTTTTGTCATGACAGGAGTCCAGAGCGAAGGCTGCATAAAAGAATGGACCTGGGGGGAGGGTTTGTAAAACAATGAAAGAATATATTTTTTTTTTACTTTTCCAAGAAGGTAGTGTACTATGGGGGAGGGTTGGGAGGGGAGAAAAGTGCAACAACGAATGAATGGAAATCCAAAGTCTCTGTAAATTTTCATTGAAATTAATAATAAATGTTTTAAAAAAAGAAGAAGATGCCCATAGGAGGGAACGCATGTGGGTGGGGTGCCACACAGGAACTCCCAGAACTTGGGGTGAGATGCTTCTGCAGCAAACCCCAAGCTGTTCTAAGACACAGCGTGTCAAGGACAGAACAGCGTGATGTGATGGTGTCAACAGCTGTCTCACCCTGGTCCCCATGGTGTTATGGTTCCTGGACAGGGGGTAGAAGGCTCCTAGCTGCATCCAGCGTAGGCACATCTCATATTCCGCGTTTCCAAGGAAGCCACAGACGTCCGCTCCTGTCTGAGAGGTGCAGCGTCAGGTATGAGGGGCTCGTGCAGGCTGCCGGCCCTGAGAGCCAACCGTGGGCTTAGGAGGACCCGTGTCACTTACATATGGTATTCCAAAGAGGCTGAACTCCAGCATTCCTGCAATGAGAAAACACCACTGGGTTGGGCCAAGCAGCATCTGAACAGCGGAAGGTTCCCTGTCAGAGAGCCCTCCTGGTGATAAGGTCTAAACACGCATGCAGACCAGCATCCTCGCTTTGGGGCCTGAGCTCCTGCTGTCCCCGCCACACACTCCCTCTCACCAATGATGGACTTCTTCAGCTGGTCCCACGCAGCCGTGTTCTCTCCCAGCCAGTGGCCTCCCCAGCGGCCAGAGGAGGGGAAGGTGGAGCGAGTGATGACCACGCCTCGCTGCCCTGTCACTTCCTGCACAGCTCTGGGAAGAGGACACAAGGAGGGAACTCAAGTGATGTTACAGACCCCAGGGGACAGCAGCAGCAGCCTCTAAGAAGGTGGTCAGGCTCCTTCTCCACCTGTAATGCACCTTGGCTCCTCAAGGCTTCCAAGAGTTCAGCTGCGGTGTCAGAGCCCAGAACCTGGACTACTGTTTGTGTCCAGCAGCTAACCGGAACCCCAGCCACGTGGATCCACGAGCCACTTCACCAGAGAAAGGGAGGCCATCTCCTCCCTACAGCCACAGAGAGCAATTCAGGATGCTACGGGACAAAACCAGCTTGGTGGCACGGGCTTGGTTTAGATTTTGGCCCACTAGCACCTCTGGGAAGTGGCATGTGGTTGTGTGAACCCCCTCAGTCACCCCCACGGGAGAAGCATGGGGCCGTCTGCGGCTACCGTGGATGACAGCCTTTGGGGCCGAGGCAGCTCTAGAGCCCTGAAGGACAGGTTTCAGCCACATTCTCGGCTGCGCTGCTCCCCTCAGAGTCCCAGTGTGAACGACCTTGCTGCCACGGCCGGGTGTACTCACTCGTAGGTGGGCCTGGTCTGCGCCCAGCCGTACAGGTTGTGCACGTCGTAGTGACGCACCACCGAGCCGTCCGCCAGCACCTGCTGGCTCTCCATGCACAGGGTCTTGCTGCTCAGGCCGCTGTCCCTGGCCTCCAGAGCTGAGGGGAGAGGTCAGCCATAGTCAGAGTGGCCAGAGTAGGATGCACACAGGAAACACCATTTGTTTTCTTCTTTAAATCAACAGCACAGAGCTGGGAGAAGTGCCCCCACTGCCACCCGAATCTACTCCCGCCCAGTGGGGACAGCAGTTCTCGATTCACTATTAGCCTGAACGCTGGGGGTTCTAAGTCAACCATGGGTGCCTCAGAAGAGCTGCAGACAGATTCCACAAGATCACGCCTTCAGGTCCCTGGAATCTAGGCTTCGCCTCTAAGTCCAAAGCCTCTTCATGAAGGATGTTTTCTGTTTGGACGCTGTGCAAATAATTCTGCTGCAACAGGCTAGAGAAGCCGTGAGTCAAAAACACTTGGCACCAGCAGTGATGACAGGGAGCCCCGTGGCATAGTGTTCAACATACTGGGCTGTTAGCCAAAAGGTTAGTGGTTCAAATCCACGAGCTGCTCCATGGGAGAAAGCCAGGCATTCTGCTACCATAAAAATTTATAACCTTGGAATCCTGACAGAATTCGCTGCCTTGATGGCCCTTGAGTTGCATCATCATGGTCCAATCAGGAGCTCCAAACCCTTTTGTGTAATGCCCATCTCTCCCACTAGATGGTGATGTTCCCAAGGGAATAGGCCTCATGTCCTCTAACAGTCTCCTGACCATTAGTCAGTACTTGACCAGCACATGGAACACTGACTGACGTAAAAGAAAGAGAAAGTGAACGAGTGAATTAATGATTGAGTTCTCGAACCGTGGGGAGCACAGCCCATGAGTGTCAGGACACTTGAGTTCTAGATCCCATCGCATAAATGACTGGCTGGCACAGTGCCTGGGCAGGTGGGTTACTTCCTTGTTGGGCCTGCGAAGGGGAGAGAACTGCACCTACTGGGACCTCCTCTATCCCAAGGTCCTGTGCGTCTCTGTTTCTCCTTGCACAGGGTCCAAACAAAGCATCCTTCATGGACAGTCTTTGAACTTAGAGAGAAGCAGGGACTAGGCTTTATTCTCTAATGAAGAGAGAGGAAGGAAGTGGGAAGAGAGAGAGATGGACAGGAAGGCAGGGAGAAAGGTGGAGTGAGGGGAGAGGAAGAGAGATGCAAGGAGAAAGAAGGAGGGAGAAAGGGAGGGTGGGGATGGAGGAAAGGAGATGTGGAGAGAAAAGGAAGAAAGGCGAAAGGGTGAGAAGTGGAGGGAGGCAGGGAGGAGGGCATAGGAGGGTGGATTAAAGTCAGAGAGCTCAGCTGCCAGTCAGATGCACCTGCTCCCGGGGGGGGGGGCGGGGGGCAGCCTCCCCTCAGCAATGTGCCTTTTCCCACCATTCAAGATTCAACGTGCTTCTTCCCACTGTTGAAGGTAGTTTGTTGGGGTTTTGCAGCATTGTGAGTGACCACTGTTCACCTTTTCTTCAGTGGGGGGAGGAAACCTTCGCCCAGGGCGGGGGCATGCTTTGTGACTGACGTACATACCAGGCATGTAGGAGGGATTGTTGAGCATGTTGTCTCTGCAGCTGCTGACAGATCCATCCACGAAGTTTGACGGCTCGTTCATGTCCTGAAGGGAGTGGACAAGGAAGATCCAGGATGTTGAACGCAAGGCCTCTGCTCCAGAGGACACTGAGCTCCAGTGGCGGTGATGCTACAAAGCTTCACGGCAGCTGGGGCTGACTAAGCTGATGACCCGCGGGTCAGTGGTTCAAAACTACCCCTGCTCCACAGTAGAGATGAGAGTCTCCTTCTGTAAAGGCGCATCCCCTCGGAAGCAGCTGGAGGGCGGCTGTGGTCCCGACCAGCTTGACAACACTTGATCAAGTCTTCTAGTTTAATCACTGACACAGACCCAGGTGGACTGCGAGCAAATGTGTGGGCTTCGGGGGAGTCACAAGTATCAGCCAACATGGTTGGATGTTAACCAAGACACAGTCCCTAGGGGATGGTTCTGTCAGCTGGTCACACACACCTTTCTGGCAGGTTGGCCCACCAACAACTGCAGGAGACCTTAGCCAGCCCTCAGCTCCTGGGAGGGGGCGGTGCAACTGATCTGCTCTGTGTACAGAAGTGCTCTTGTGTTTCCCTCCCACTGACTTTGGGATGTGTGGCCTGTGGGGGACACTTCAGGGGCGGATGAGAGGAGCCAGAGGACCACTCCCCTCTTGGGGGCTCAGCAGATTCTCGGTTGGGCTGCTGCCTCTGAGGCAGACTCCTCCTGTTAAGACACACGGGCTCAGAAACCCAGCGGCAGGCTGCCATGAGTTGGAGTGGACTCAACGGTGGCGTGTTTGGTTGGTTTGTGAGACAGTGAGAAGCTTCTCCTGAATGGGCCATAACTCCCACGATGTGAACCACCAACAGTCCCACCCTCACCTCCCCTAACTCCCACCATGGTGTGAAGCAGCAGCAGTCCCACCTTCACCTCTCCTAACTCCCACAATGGTGTGATGGTGTGAACCAGCAGCAGTCCCACCTTCACCTCTCCTAACTCCCACAATGGTGTGATGGTAGGAACCACCAACAGTCCCACCATCACCTCCCCCTAACTCCCATCATGGTGTGAACCACCAGCAGTCCCACCTTCACCTCCCCCTAACTCCCATCATGGTGTGAACCACCAGCAGTCCCACCTTCACCTCCCCCTAACTCCCACCATGGTGCTAGCCAGCAGCCCCACTGGCACTGCCCAGCCCTCCATCTCTAGTGCTCTCTGCTCGGTTCCTCCCAGCGTGGGCCCTTCACTGATTGACAGCTCCCCAAGGGCTGGTCACTAACACTCTCAAAGAGAAGCAGATGATGATACACTTACAAGCCAGAGTCCATCGAACTTCAGGCTCTGCGCCGAGTCCCTCGGGTTTGTGTAGAGCTCTCGGATCTCATTCTTCCACCATAAAACTGTGCAGTTGTGCAAGAAGTCAGGAAATGCCACGTGGGCTCTGTACAGCTGGGAGAGTAAAACGCACTCAGGGTGGGGCTCAGCCTGTCCAGGAAGGGGGCCAGACAAGCAAGGGCAGCTGGGCAGATGCCTGGGCCTTGCACTGGACCTTTGTCTCTCAGCAAGCTCAGGAGTGCTATGGTGCCCCATCCAAGGGACATGAAGAGACCAGACAAGGCTTTGCTTATTCTAGCAGAGGGCCTTGTTTTCCTGAAGGGCTTTGTGAGTTTCCTTTAGTCATAAGGACTGAGGAATTAGCAGTAACTGCCTAACAATTGAACAACAAGGATTTAAGGATTTTTTTGCACTGGCTAGATACATAAAGGCCGCTCAGAGCACAGGAGAGGCCAGCTGTCCTGACTCTGAGGCCTCTCCTCTCTTCAGTGAGGTTTGAAATTTCTGTGACCCATAAACAATTCACCAAACCCCAGTCTGTTGGGAACTTTGCTGAAAATATTCTAGACTTTGGCTCATTGTTTCTCAAGAAACTTTGTCATCCAACAAAACACAGCCCACGAGAGGCTCCATGTAGGGGATTTTCAGGTGTGATTCCTGCTGCACACTTCCATTTAGGACTCACAAAGTAAACGTGTGGTGAATTTTTAGAACAATAAAATTTTAAAAGTTGGTTCATGGATACAAAGGCCAAAGACAATCTACCAGTTGACCAGCAGAAGAATATTAATTCATATGAGGCAAAAGATACGAGTGTCCAGGTGTTTAGGGCAATGTGGTCACTGTACCTTCACCTGAGTCTCTTGGTCCAGGGATCCATCCACATTCACATTGGGCAGATCTGGCCAAGTCTAGAGCAAAACAAAAATCATAAAAACCTGTCATAAAAGTGTTGCGCACACACCAAGGATGCACTTCACCTTGGACTCTAAAGTCTTCTATCTCCAGAGGATGTGTGTGCATTAAAGTGGAAAGGAAGGCCACCTGAGAGAGGGAGAGAAGCTGTTGTCCTTAGTGGCCAAGAAAGGTTGATAAGAAATGATGTCAAATGGAAGGAGTTGAGATCTCTAGTCTAATGCTATATGATTCCAAAGTCTTATCCTAAATCACCGACTACCTTCTCTCTTGTCGTTGTCATTAAGTGCCATCCAGTACAACTCATAGTGACCCTACAAACAAGTCACTGTGACAGGCCATGTCCTTGAAGGTCTTTCTCTTCTATGTTGACCCTCTACCTTTCAAAGCACGATGTCACTTTCCTAGGACCAGCACCCCCTAACAACATGCCAAAAGTGTGAGTCAGAGCTTCACCATCCTTGTCTCCAAGGACCACCCTGGTTTCACTATCTCCAAGACAGACCTGCTTGCTCTCTTGAAAGTCAATGGGGTATTCAATACTCTTCTCCAACATCACCACTCAAAGCATTGATTATTCTTCTGTCATCCTTAGTCAGTGTTCAGCTTTCAGATGCATAGCAAGCAAATGTGAAAACCATGGCTTGGATCAGTCACATCTTGGTCTTTTAATGCACATATTGATTTTCAGAATTCTGGAGCGGTCCCTCACAACATATTTTCCAAATTCAGTGTGTCTTTTGATTTTTTGACTGCTAGTAAGTACCAAGAGTGCTGATTGTTGATCAAAGTAAGACGAAGTTATTTGTAATTTCAATATTTTCATTATCTATCATGATGCTATTTATCAGTCCGGTAGTAAGAATTTCCATCTTCTTGATGTTGAGAAGTAATCCATTTTAAAGGCTGTAGTACTTGATTTTCTGCTGCTAGTGCTTCAAGTCCTCTTCACCTTCAGCAAGCAAGGGTGTGTCATCTGCACAGGACAGCACAGGTTGTTGATGAGTCTTCCTTTGATGCTTATACCACATTCTTCATCAAATTAAGCTTCTCAAATTATTTCTTCAGCATAGAAATTGAATAGGCATGGAGAAAAGATAGAACCCTGACACACACCTTTCTTGATTTTAAACCATGCAGTGTTTCCTTGCTCTGTTTGGGCAATTGCTTCTTGGTCTAAGTATAAATTTTGCATGAGCATAATAAAGTGTTCTGGGATTGCTATTCTTCTCAATGTTAGCCATAATTTGTTGTAATCCACACAGTCAAATGCCTTTGCATAGTCAATGTGTCAATGTAATACAGAAAGACATCCCTCTGGTATTCTCTGATTTTTACCAAGATCCATCTTTCACTAGCAATGATATCGTTGGTGCCACAGCCTTTTCTAAATCTGGTTTGAATTTTTGGCAGTTCTCTGTCAATATATTGTTCTGTTTTAAACAATTTTCAGAAAGATTTTGCTTGCATGTAATATTAGTGATATTGTTCAATAATGTCCACATTCTGTTTGATCACCCTTTTTGGGGAATAAGAATAAATACTGATCCCTACTGGTCAGTTGGACAGGTAGCTGTCCTCAAGATTTCTTGGCACAATCTGGCAAGCACATCTAGGGCTCGATCTGTTTTTTGAAGCCTTATAAAATCCACAGTAAAATCACCAGTTTCATCTGAAACTAGTAGGATATTAACCAAATATATTTCTTCATTGATTACATGCCGAATACTTGTCGAACATTTACAATATGTTAGGTACTATTCTTTACCCATGAAGACAGAAATAATCTCTGTTTTCTAAGGACTCAGAGAGGGTAGGGAAGTGCTTGTGTGTCTGCTGTACTGTCTCAGGGTTATGATGCTCACAGGGAGGAAGAGGAAGAGCTAAATGGGTCCGTTCCTGGAGAAGGATGTTCTACCTGGAGGGAAGACAATTAAAGAGAAGCCATTCGGTGAGATGGTTGACTCCGTGGCTGCAACAATGAGTTCAGAGACAGCAGTGACTGTGGGGATGGGTAGGACCAGGCAGGGGCTGTTCTGTTGTTCATGGACCACTATGAATCGAGACTGACTGAAAGCTCCTAATAACAGTTCTTGAAGTGCAGACTTATTTGGCTAATCTGGGAGGGTAACAGTCAAGGTGCAGTGAACATAAAAAGATGTTGTTTTTAAGTCCTCTTGAGTTGAGTATGACTCATAGTGAACAGATCGGAATCATGTCCTACCCTGTACCATCCTTCACTCTCTGATTCTGAGGAATAGAGAATAGTGAGGTGTATAGAGGACAGAGCTGAGGTTCCCCCTCTAGGGTCAGGGAGTTGGCCTAAAAAGCTGTTCTTCTGTGTCAGAAGCGTGGGGATGAGGACTGTGCTGTCTGAAAGAGGACGAGGTGCCGGAGCCCAGGAATTGAGTCAAATTTGCTGTTGTCATCAGGTTGATTTAGACCCATGGCAACCCCATGAGTGCCAGTAGTTGACAAGACTGCAGACCAAACACTGATACTGGGATAGGACCAGTCACCTTGATATTGTTTTTGATTCACATTCTTACTCTTTCCCAGGATTTACCAAGACCATCTCTTCATTAAGGCACTACAATATTGACTGACCAAGCACCACACCCGCAGCCTTACCTTCCCCCAGACAATGTCATTGCTGCCTGGCCACTTGATGAACACATTGTTTGTCTGTCCCCGGGTGAAGGGGAGATACCCCGTCTCATTGCCAGAAATGGCCGGGTCCTATAAGAAGGGGATTTAAAACACAAAAATAGGAAACAGCACTGAGAACCATCCACCTCAAAATGAGAACAATGAACTTTAATACTAAAGACTGCAGATCATTTCTCTACTTGACATATTACTATTTCCCACTGCTGTCAAGTTGATCCTGACTCGTAGTGACCCAGGAGGACAGTGTAGACCTGCCCCACAGGATTCCAAGACTGTAAATGTCAGAGCAGCAGATTCCTCTTTCTCGCTTAGAGCAACTGGTGTGTATGAGCCACTGCGTTCTCGATTCGGCGCTGAGTGCTTAACTAGTGGGATGATGTTTCAGGTTCCTCAACAGCATATAGGCCCTTAGGAAGGATTTCTTTTAGAGGAAATTAGAACTTACATGAGTAAAAGGAGATGTCCTCTATGTTGTAGAGAATAAGCACCCAAAGGTATGTGAATGAACTCTAAAAAGACTGCAGACATAAAATCACGACCTCACAAGGCAAACTCATTGCCCCACCGGGAGAACCAGCGCATAGCTGACCCTCCAGTGGTTTCGGAAGCTGCACGTTGCATGGGAGGAGATCACTTCTTTCTCTCTTTTGGAGCAGCCTGTGGTTTTGAACTGGCAGAGAGTGTTATATACAGTGATTTGGATAACAGCACAGCTCTCTATAGACCATATCACAAGAGCTCCAAACATGATGTAGCGGAGTGATTTTCCAGTGGGATCATATGTAAAGAAAAGGTCAACTTCTTGATTTTCAAAGAGCATGCCGGTGTCTTCTATCCTGTGGTCTGATTTGTCTATCTGAAGTCAAATCTCCTGTTCACCTCACTCCAGACCAATCCCAATTACTCTCTGTAGTAGATTTCTACTTCACAATTGTTGCAGAAATGATCACCTTGCAAACTACTCTGCTTTATAAGTGTTTTCAGTTGGTTATTTGTCTCCACTAGGATAGAACTTAACTGTACTCACGAGAAACCCATTCATAGACCAAGACGGTATTGTCCTAGCAGAACAATAAAACACTACATAATTTAAAATCGGGAAATATAGGCATTCAAGTTTTATCCTTTCTTAATACCTATTTAATCTGTATGATAAACTCATAATCTGAGAAGCTGAACTATATGAAGAATGTGGCATCAAGAGTGGAGGAAGATGCATCAAGAACCTGTGTCACGGAGACGACACAACATTGCTTATAGAAAGTAAAGAGGATTTGAAACACTTGCTGTAGATAAAACATCTACAGCTTTCAATATGTATTACAGAAAAAACATCAAGAAAAGAAAACTCCTCACCATGGACCAAGAGGCAACATCATGACAAATGGAGAAAAGAGTGAAGTTGCCAATGATCTAATTTTACATAGATTCACACCAACACCCATAGTAGCAGCAATCAAGAAATCAAAAGACCTGTGGCATTGGTGAGGTCAGCTCTCGGGTACCCCTCCCAGGCGCTATAAAGCAATGATGTCAGCTTAAAGACTGAAGTGCGCTGACGCAAGCCACAAATTGCTTTGTATGCACCTGAACATTGGACACCAAGTAAGGATGATAGATCCAACATAGAAACAGTGCCTTTGGAGTCTGGTGTTGAGGGAAAGCACTGAGAATCCCGCAGTGTCGCAGCACGAGTAAATCTGTTTGGAGGAAGTGCAATCAGGGTGCTCCTTAAAGGCGATGATGGTGAAACGCCATCCACACACGCTGGACATGTCGTCAGAAGGAGCTAGTCCTTGGAAAAGACCTTAAGCTGGGAGAGGAGGAGGGTCAGGAAAAAGAGGCAGCCTCTCAGGCAGAGGGACTGACCCAGTGACGAGAAGAACGAGCTTGAGCAGGTCAGAGACTGGGAGGGCAGGGCGGGGCAGGACAAGTTCAGAGTCATTGCCCATCGGGTCACCATGAGTTGCAGAAACTCGATGATACATGACAGTAACAACAACAGGATGCTGTTGTTGTAAGTGCCGTCGAGTCGCAGACGACTCATAGCGACCCTATGAAGGAGAGTCCTCAACGCTTGGGTGTCTCTCATCCTCTCTCCAGGTTCATAGGGTTTCCGGAGGCAAGCTATTACAGAAGTGGCTGCCACTCCTGCTTCCAAGCTTGTTTATTAGGACTAAACATTAAACCATGTCCACACTGCTGTGCAGTCTGGGAAGTAGGCCAAATATCAGGCCGGACTTTAGCATCTACAACAACAGGACAGCAGCCTTACTTTAGAAAAAAGAAGAAAAGGGGG